CTCCCCAGAGGACCGTTTCCTTGGTCAAAGGTATATGAGTAACTGTGCTCCCTGCTCAAACCTCCAAACAAGGTTATCAAAATAGAAGATTATTTTCTCTTCAGCCTTCCAGTTTGACAGTCCCAAGCACCCACAGTCCCTCTACACTGTTGCTAGTCTTGGTTACTTTCTCATCACTAAGACTTAGTATCTGACACCATAACTCTGAAAGGAGGGAGGTTTCTTTTGGCCCACACTTCAAAAGTTTCAGTCCATGGCTGGCAGGTTCAAATTCTAACAGCATGGTGGAAAGGCCTGCTGTGGAGAACAGCTGCTTCCATCATGGCGTCCAGGAAGCAGAGAGATGGGGGGGAGGTGTGGCAGGAGATAGACCCCTTCAGGCCATGGCCCCAGTGACTGGATCTTCTGACTGGACCCTGCTTCCTAATATCACATTCAGCTAAACAACCCCCAGGATCTAACTCCAGTTCTGAGAGTAGAGCTTCTTTTTTTTTTTTTAATATGTTTGGTTGTTGCAGGGTCTCACTATACAACTCAGACTTGTGGTGATCCTCCTGCTTTTCAAGCCTCCCAGCACTGGGATTACAGAGGTATACCACTACACCCAGACTCTGACCAGCTCAGCCCGACATGGGGGCGGGGCTGGCACAGCATGTAGTACCGGGGTTCAAACCATAGTCCCTACACTTGCCTATCCTTGCCTAAGCAGGTGCTTTAGTCTGCTGAACTACCTCACCGGCCCCCTATTTTCTTGATCAAGAGGAGATACTTTTTTTAAATGAGTGGGGATCATTCTTGACCTAAACCATATCTTTACTTCTCCATGCTCCAGCGTAGGGGTTGGTAAATTGTGGACTATAAACAAAATATAGCATCTGCATTTGTATGACCCTAAGCTGAGAATGGATTTTACATTTTTAAAGGATTAATAAAAGTCAGAATTCTATTTCATGGCACATGAAAAATTTATGAAATTCAAACTTCAGTACCCTGGCCCATCCATTCTTGTATACATTCTCAGTAGCCACTATCATGCGCTGAAACATGTTCCCACAAACAATGCTCAGGCTCCAACTCCTGATTTCTGTGCATGTGATTTTGTTTGGAAATATTGTCTCTGTAGAGGTAACTAAGTTAAAAATGAGGTCACATTGGTGTGTGGGAGGGGTGTCCTACATTCAATAAATAACTGGTGTCTGCCTTCATAAAAAAGGGGTTAGAGGGACTGGACTATAAAGACCCCAGTACACTCACAGGGAAGACCATAGAAGAATGGAGTAGGATGTCACAGCCACAAGCCAATGAAGGCCAAGGGTTGTGAGCAATCACAGGAGCTAAGAAGAAGCAAGAAGAACTCCAGTCTGCCTTTAGAGGGAGCACAGCCCTGCTGACAATCCAGGCTCCAGAACTGTGGGAAAGTGTGTTTCTGTTGTTTTGAGCCACCATTTTTTCAGTCTTTCTTACAGTGGCATCAGAAAACATGAAACTGGTCTGGAGCCTCAGGAACAAGCTTGATTACCTGCAGAGAGATTGCATAGCCCACAAGCCTACAATATTTTCTCTGTGGCTCTTTGCAAAAACTGTTTGCCAACTTCTGATCTAACTGCCCTAGTTTTCTGCTCGTTTTTTTGTTTTGTTTTTTATTTAGTTGGTACACAGTCTCACTATGCAGCTTGGACTCATAGTGATCCTCCTGTTTCAGCCTCCCCAGCACTGGGATTACCAGCGTGCACCACCATGCCCGGTCTTGGTATCCAGCTCAGCATGCCTGGGGCAAGGCTGGCACTGCACGTAGTACCAGAGATTGAACCCAGGTCCTTATATTTTCCTAGGAAGGCACTTGGACCTCTGAGCTATCTCCATGGCCCTAATGGTCCTAATTTGTATGGCAGGAGGCAGGGTGCTAAGATATCAACAAAAGAAAAAAATTACACGTGCTAGAATTGCTTTTACAGATGTTATGTTGGTTGGCAAGTTGACTGAATTAAGAGATTCCTGGAGAGATTATTGGACCATGAAGACACTAACTTCATATCTGAATTCATAGCCAAGTGGGCTATCAGGAGGTGAGGCTACTTGGAGGAAGAGGGCCTTGGGGGCAGGACTTTGGTGACAGTGTCTGGTCCCCAGCTGCTTCTGCTCTGCTCTTCTTGTTCTCACTGCTTCCTGGATGCCATGAGTTGAGCCGCTTTCCCCAGCCATACCTTTCTACCGGATTTCTGCCTTGGAGCACCTAACCACATACTGAGACCGTGAGCTGAAAGCAAGCCTCCACTCCTGTAAGTTGCAGTTATCAGATGTATTGTCCCAGCAACAAGAAAGCTGATGGGCACAGACTGGGAGACAGAGACAAAACAAGGTTAAGACTTAAGTAGAGGAGGAGGCCATCTGTCCTTTTCACACAACAAAATGTCTCACCCCTCTTCTTCCGCCCACAGCACCATTGCTTTCCTTAGGGGTTGGAGGGGCATAGGTGCTACCCCACACAGTCCCCACAGTTGAGGCTGACTCCACATCTCAGTCACAGGCTGAATGGATTAAGCAGCAAACTGTCTCCCCCTGGTTCTGGCGGTTGGAACGCCTACGATGAAGACCTGGCAGGGTTTGGCCTCTGGTGAGAGCTCTCTTCCTGCGTCTCACTGCATCCTCACATGCCTTTCCCTAGTGAGTGCATTGCAGAGAGCTGTCAGTCTTTATAAGGCCGCCAATCCAATCACATTGGGACCCCATCCTTGTAACATTAACCTTAATTAATTCCAGAAATCCCTGTCTCCAAATATACTCACCTTTGGGATTAGGGCTTCAACACAGGGATTTGAAGCAGGATATAACCTAGGTGAGGATAATCAGTGTATGTTCTTTCCTCATTTCTTTTTTTCTCATGTGTGTTTGAGACAGGGTCTCACTATCTATTTTAGGTTGGCCTTGAACTCACTATGCGACCCAGGCCGGTCTCAAACTGGAGGGAATCTTCCTGCCACAGCCCCCTGAGCCCAGGGATTACAACATACATCATTATATCTGACTTGCATTTTAATGCCAGGCTTTCCACATATGATCCCAGGCTATCCCAAGGCATGGCATTTGCTGTAGCTTTCAGGAAAAGAAGGCTCTCTTTTCCCATGCACCAAAAGAAATCTGAGTCTAAATAAGCCAGGGTGTATACAGAGGACCTGTCAGAGAGAACAGCTCACTTGGGAGAAAACAGAGCCAAGTACTGGAGGTAAAAGACATACTGATAGCATCGTAGCACCTACATCCAGCTGTACCTGCGATATGTGTCCCTTGGACTTCTCAGTTAACCTGACAGTGTAGTGCTGCTGGTGTTTCTGTTGCTTGCAACCTGAAGAATCCTGATGAATAGACTAATGGTGGTGGAGATGGGATCTGACATTAAGTAGCTCAAACTCAGGATTTCTTGGGGGTAATTCCGGAGCTCCCTTGAGTTGTGACTCCAGATGGCAATGAGCTGCCATATTCTTTAAGACATTGTACCCTTACTCTCCTTAGATAGTAACAGGAGTAAGAAAGGTACAATGCATGTGAATAAGTAAAGATGATTGTTCAAATAAATCCAGGTTGTTGCTGGAAGCGCCTACTGTTATGAAGCAAAACAGATTCCCAGGACGGGGGTTTCCTTGTAGCTCCTCACAAAGGACTCAGATAAGCCCCAGCAGGCAGGGCAGGGCACCCTGTAGGCCCTATTCTGGATGCCTGAGTTCAAGACACAGCTCTGCCAAGGCTGCATGACTTTGAGTAAGAAGCTGGACTGGCTGAGCCTCAGTTTCCACCTCTGATAGACGGGGAAGATCATTTCTCAGCATTGCTGTGAGCAGTGAGTGAGTAAGTGTATTGTGACTACATTATGCAGTGCTTTGTGAAAACTGTGAATATCATTCTCAGGTGCCTTACTCACATCTTGGATTAAAGGCCACCCTCCAGTGACCCTCTGCTTCGGGACAGTCCCCTTCTCCTGTAGTGTCCTTTCTTTCATATATATTGAGATCCTGTAATTTTATTTTGCAGCACTGAGCACTGAACCCATCGCCCTCACAATAAGCTACATCCCCAGCTCTTTTCAAATTTTTATTGTGACACGGAGTCTTGTTATGTTGCCCAGACTGGACTAAAACTTAGAGTCCTCCTGCCTCAGCCTCCCAGAGTGCTGGGATTTCAAGCGTGCACTGTCATACTCTCATAGATCTTTTCTTTTTAAATTCTCTCACTTTATAAGGCTTCAGGCTTCAGGTAAGGCAGAAGTCTGGTCAATTTGGCCAGCACCTCGTCTCCACCCGGCACACAGTAGGTGCTCAATCAATTGGGGTTTGGAAAAAAGGCTAGCAGCAGAAGGCAGCGGCCACTTCCGTCCAGGGACTGCCACGCCGTCACCGGGACTTGCCGGAGGTGGGGCTGGGGTGGAGCGAGGGCTGGGCAGTCCTGTTGGAAGCACTTTTTTCCTCCTTTTCAACTTCCCAGCATTCAGGAGAGGTTCCGAGGAGGAACGAAGCCACAGCCTGAGACACAGGACCTCCGGGTTTTGCCCTCAGACGGGGTGGCCGGGGACAAGTCCCTCCCGCCGGCTCCGGAGTCGCCGCGGGGCGCAGGCCCGGGCGGGGACCGACCCTCCCTCCCTCCTCCCCGCCAGTCCGGCGCTCGCCGCAGACTTTGGCATTTCCTCCCCGCTAGCTGGCGCGGCGTGGCCTCCTCCCGAGAAGGAAGCTCGCGGACGAGTAACGGGCCGAGCTTCCAGGGCCGCGCAGTGGACGGCGAGCCGGGCCGGGTAGGAGCGGGCCGAGGGCGGCGCCGGGAGCTGGCGGGGAGCGCGGCGGGGCGCGCGGGGCG